AAAAAATAATTAAGAGACATTTTGAGATGTTTATTCAGATGTATTTCTAAAATTTTTAGATTGATTGGTAATTGATAATATTTTACTAAGTTGAACTAGAAAATATATTGAGAAGGTCATTGGTAACTGGCAATCAACCTTTCCAACAATTGACTCTCAACTGATTGTTCCCTTATTGTCGTATGTAGAGCTTGTCTAATTACATTGAAAAATGGAATTTGGATATTAACTGAATGGAACTATGACCTTAAGGTTTGTATCACTTGTTTAGAAAAAAGTTTAGGCACTATGTTATCATTGTTACAGTAAAATCTGATGCAAAATTTTCCTATTTTAAAGATACTTTATTTTCATGCAATTGGAGGAATTTCAGCACAGAACAAGAAAAGAGAGAATACAGTTTGCAGGAAGTGGGAAAAAAAGTTCAGGGCGGCTGCAGTGATAAAAGGACAGCAATCATGCAACTTTTGAACCACGTTTCCCACGAACCATTGAACCTATAAGTAAAGAGTCTTTCTGATTTTTGCTCAATGCACATAAAACTTCTCATGAATCTTGAGTGAAAGCATCCCCCCTCCCCCCACACCCCCCAAAAAAAAAGAAGAAACCATCTCTGACGATCGAGTCTGTTAGCTAGTAACAACATGATCAAATTCACTCCATTCATTGTGCTATGGTTCACAATTGGTTTCGATTTCCATGTAAGAGCATATTCAAATGTAAGCTGCTTTGAGAGCGAGCAAAAAACTCTCCACGAATTTAAGGAAGGTCTAATTGACAAATCAAATCATTTGGCATCCTGGACAGGGGAAAATTGTTGCTCATGGGAAGGAGTTGGATGCAACAGGAACATTCGGCATGTGGTGAAACTTGATCTGCGTAATAATGCTACTTTTGATTCCAATCGATTTTGGTATGGGGACATGCAAAATTATGTCTCTATCTATGTAAAACTTGTTTAGGAGGCCAGATAAGTCCTTCGTTAGTGAATTTGCAGCATTGGCATTACTTGGATTTAAGTTCAAATAATTTTGCAGGAATTCGGATCCCAGTATTTATAGGATCATTGAAAAATTTGAGATATCTCAACCTTTCTAGCGCAGGTTTCAATGGGACAATTCCTCTCCAATTTGGAAATCTCTCAGCCTTAGGCTATCTCGATCTTCGTAAAAAATTTGAAAGTTTTAGTGAAGGGGTAAATCATTATTATTTGTCCACGAAGAGTCTCTGGTGGATCACTAGCCTTTCTTCCTTGAAACATTTGGACCTCTCTAAAGTGGATCTAGGAGAGAGGCTCGAGACTGGTTGCAAGCAATTAACAAACTTTACATCTCTTACCTCATTTGACCTCGAAGGCAGTGAATTTAACTCCACAATCCCTCTCTGGTTGTTTAATTTAACTTCACTTCATCTCAACCTTAATTTCAACCTTTTTTTTTGGTTCAATAGTTCCTAATAACCTTTAGCATTGGACTTCACTAAGCTACCTCGATCTTAGCTACAATCAATTCAATATTTCACTGCCTGATCCACTTTTCACTTTGAACAATCTTGTCTATATGGACATCACTTTGAACCAAATCCAAGGCCCACTCCCCTTCGGCCTAGGCAACCTAACTTCTCTTTCCATACTGCATATGTGATGACCCCACCTCCCCCTAAGGTGTACCCAAGGTTTGGTGGACCGCCTGCCCAACTCTTACCAGAACTCACTCACGTACCACGAAATTTACAAGAAAATAACCTTAATAATAAGAGCGATAACAATTACAATTTGCAATGTATACACTCCTGGACCTCAAATGCCCATACAATCGATAAATACAGCCAAGTAATCAACCTTACAAAGATCAAACCAAGCAAGCCAACTAGAAACCTACGGAGTGCTCATGCAAGCAACTAACAAAACTTAGACAAAATCGATGCCTTCTCCAATTTTGACTCTCATGTTCTCACCCTCTAAGAAAAATAAATTCATGGAATGAGCTAGAAACCCAGTGAGGTTCCAAGAAAACAGGCAAGCGAACTAGCATGCATGATACTATGCATAGGATATCAAGAAACAAATCAAACTCAAGCAGACCAGAATATAAGGTATAGTAAAGCAACTAGGCAGATCGGTCATGCAATAGTGTAAGGTTAAAAAAAAACACATTTATGCCAAAAGGATATATGCTGCTCTTAGGAGCAAGTTCCACCGTAGCTTGTCGATCCGTTGACTCTCCGTCAACCATGGCATTATAATATCCGTAGATCACCACTAAACGTCAATCTCTGTCTACCGATTATCCCTCTGCCAAGCCCAAACGCCAATCAAGTACCCATGGTTCGTCAGTCTCTCGACCAATCCCTTTACCAACTCGATTCGACCAACTAGCCATTGGGTTGGACTTATAGCCCCAAGTATTCAAGAATCAAGTATTCATGATATGGGTTAAAGCTCCAAGCATTCAAGAATTCACGAATGGAGTCATTGGTTATTAACCAACACTCACGTAGGTAATGATTGGAGCCGTTAGCTATCACCTAACGCTCCGTATCAAGCAAGTCATGAGTTCAAGTCACGAGTTCAAGTTAGGAGTAAACAGGTTAGGAAATTCTTCCTTTACCTCAAGGTTGCCCAACTTACGCGACTGCTCTAGGGCTGGTCTCAAGCAAGAGGTCCAACGAGGGCTCAGTTCAGCCATTACCGACCTACATTCATGCATACGTATGAGTAACCCAAGTTCCAACTTACCCGGCGTTTCGGATAAGTGTCCAAGGGCCCAGTTCAACCGCTGCAAGAAGAGATGCAGTCGGCCTACAAATATGCACAGGTACATGCAAGTCCGCATGCAAGAGTCAAGTATTTCAAGTTCACGGAGTCGAGTGCAATTAAGGACACACTCGCCTAGACAAGATTAAGTCACAAGTCACATGTATATCAAATTACTTGTTCATGCATAAACAAGATGTCAAGTGTTTAGTTAAGTTAGGTCGAGTGCGATAAAGTACACACTTACCTAAGGAGTAACAATTCAAGTGCCGAGCAATTTCTAGCAACAAGTCATATTTAGTTAGGCAATATGGAACATGCAATTGGAACACTCACCACGGCAACAAGCTTAAGTGTTTGCCTTAAGAGCACTTCCGGCCTTACCTTCAAGTCCTAAAATCAAGTATGTTAAGTGCCATGAGATCCACTACTCCAAGCTATAATATTCAAAGGAAAACACTTCCAAACCAACCAAGTTATCTCAACTCCAATCATAAAACCAAGCTCAAAATGGTTCTACAACTCCAGCTTGAAGTTGGAAATGAAAACAAGAACGGTTTTTGAAGAACAGAATTTTCTCTAGTTTTACACGATGCTATTTGAAAAATCATATCTCAAGCTTCTTGAGTTCAAAATTTATAAACTTTATACCGTTGAAAATAAACTCAAAGGATTACAGTTTTCCAGAAGGCACATTTGTAAGATTCTGTCCACAAATCAGTCAAATTCTAGTCTCAAGTTGCTGCTTCGTTCGGTAGAAAAAAACAACAGGTGTGAAAATTCAGTCAACTTTGGAAAATCGTAGATATTCATAGGAATTGAGAACAATTCTGAATTTTTGTAGTGTAAAGTACTCTGAATCTAGTTTCAAACGCAATAAGCAGAACTCAATTTGGATTTTCTATACGAAGTTATAGCAATTTTCCCAAAACTACGCAGAGCTCTTTGCGGAAATTTCCAGCAAGCCAAAGAATGTTTTTTCCAAACTCTCCTCTAGCCAAACTCCCCAACTTTCTTTCATGTTTATATAACAAATCCACAAATTAAACTAACCAACATGTTATAAGGCATATAGTGTTAATTTCTAATAAAGAAATCGCTTACAAAACTAACTATGTCAAGGCTGGAAATTTTTGCCCAAAGCTAGAATTACAACCAAAGTTGGAAAATTCTATAGCAAAGCTAAAAATTCATACTAAAACTGGAAATTCCCATGTCAAGACCTAAAAGGCATACAAAGCTGAAAATTACATTCCAAGGCTGAAAATTGACTACTAGAGCTGGAAATTCGTATAACAAAGCTAAAAATGCATCTCCAACAAGATATCCAAGCCCACAAGTCATATCAAAGCTAGAAGTTTTCATCTCAAGGCTGAAAAATTATAACTCAAAGCTGAAAAATTCAATCAACCTCACAAAACCATGAAATTTTTCTCAAACCTTCCATATTCAAGTCATATATCCATCAAAAAAGAAAGAAAAGAAAGAAAAGAAGGTTTCTTAACTTGATGCCTGCAAACCCTAGGAAGAAATGCAACCAAGAGCTTCCTTTTTTCCCAAATCTCTCCACAAGAGCCTTTCTTCCTTCCTTGTTACAACTTTCTATGGATTGAAATAAGATTCTAGGATAAATTTTTCAAGGATTCAAGCAAGGGACCAAGTTGAAATTTTGGAGTTTTTCCCTCTCTTTTCTTGCTAGGAAGTTCGGCCAAGAAGTAGAAAGAAAGGAAGGGAATTTTGACCAAACTTCTAAGAGAAAGTTCAAGAGAAGTCTTGGTCAAAGTTCCATAGATGAGTAACACTTGGCAAGACAAGAAAGTGACACTTGGCAATGCAATGATTATTGTCTAATTAATGACCGAATTATCTTGGTTGGATAAGAAGAAAATTTGGTCTTAGTCAAAGTTAAGATTCTATGGTTTTATGACAAATGGTAAACCAAGAGCTAATCCTTATCTAATTATCTTTCAAGTATTAGAATATCTAACCAACTTCTAATTATCTCTTGACTCCTTATAAATAATATCCCTTTGCATCCAACTCCTCCTAATCTTTCAAATTTATCACGCACACTTACTAGTGGGTGCCACTTTCATAAATGCACTAACTTATAGAAGACAAATAATAAAATCTTGTCTCACTTATAAAGTATCCAAGAAATAAAGGCAAATAAAATAAAGTAAAAGAAAATGTATCCAAGAAAATAAGATACAATATAAAATAAGTTTTCCAGTCCTCGTAGCAGATGGGAGCTAACGAGTTTGAAGACAAAATCCCAAGTACGATTGGGCAACTTCGAGAACTCACCGAACTCGATCTCAATTCGAATGGGTTCAATGGTACCATTCCATCCTCTCTTTGGAGGCTGAGTGAGTTGAAATCCCTGGATCCATCTTATAATCCACTGAGTAGGGAGTTGCGTGACATTCACTTTGCCAAACTCACACAACTGAAAGAATTACGCTTATCCTCCACTCTACTTGCTCTGAATGTGAGTTCCTCATGGGTCCCACCATTCCAACTTCAATCTATGGGAATGGGTTCCATCAAGATAGGGTCCAAATTTCCAATCTGGTTTCAAACTCAGAAAACAGTCGAAAATCTAGACATATAAAATGCAAGCATCTCAGATACTATCCCAGATTGGCTTGAGAGAGTGTGTCATGATATAAAAAATTTGGATTTCTCCAACTATCCCAAATATCGCAAAGTATTTTCTTCGGAGTTCAACAAATTTGAGGGCCTTTGCAATTCTTACCAACAGGCATTTCTGAATTGCATCTTAAAAATAACTCATTGCAAGGGATTAATCCACAGCCCGACATTAACAAGACATTGGATATTCTTTGAATAGATGATCTCAGTGATAACCACTTCAACGGCAGCATCCCTGATTCTTTGTGCAGCTTACAAATGCTTGTTCTCCTGGATCTTTCTAACAACCAGCTCTCCGGAAGGATCCCTTCATACATTGGTAAGCTTAAAACGTTGGGTGTGCTAAATCTAGCAAACAACAGTCTCTACGGGCACATTCCAATTTCATTGGGACATCACAATGATCTCCAATCTTTGCACTTGAACCGAAACAAATTTACAGGGATGGTCCCATTCTCGTGCAGACATCTGAAAAATTTGCAGTATCTTGATCTTGGAAACAATGAGTTGGAGGGCATTATACCAGCATGGATTGGCGAAGAACTATCCCTTCTAAAGATGTGACCCCCCATTTCTCCCTAAAACGAACCAAAGGGTATCGGCGGAACGTCTGCCCAACTCTCGCCAGGACTCACTACGAGACAATTCAAACTTATGGATAACATTCAACAATAAGAGTCGAAACTACAAAGAAAAGGGTGCTTCTTTAATAAGTATTCAATTCTTACATTTCAAGATACCAACTACATTACTTTCCCCAAAATATACAACTTTCAAAAGTCATCTAATCAATTACATTCAAAACCCTAATCAAAAGCGCATCAAGTCGGCTTCTCCATAATTCCTTCTATTTTGACTTCTGTTAAGGAAAACAAATCTAATGGGATGAGTTAATGCTCAGTGAGACCAAGAAAAGCATGCAAAACACATAGTCAAATAACAATAGCACTGATACGAGAATTAAAGCTATAACATTCAAGTAGTTCGCAATTAACAATAAAACACACTTGATAAGGATACGGGAGCTCTCAGGAGCTATATTCCACTTGCTCTGCCGATGCTCGATCCAATATCTCCACGAGTTGATACTCCATCAACTGTTACAACCCCTGCTTCGGGCCCGTACTTCTTTTATATAAGGCGATACTACTCGAGTATGCCAATCGAGATCTCTCCAATAGATCAAGCTTATACAATTTTCTCATGGCTTATCAAGGTTCACGACCAAACCCATACCGGCTCGAGTCGTAAGGTCAGCCGATAAGTTTGGGCATCCCCCACTATTATAAATTTAAGTCGAGGAGATTCACTCCAATCGACATTGATTCCACCATAATATAATTCACTATTGTAACACTTCACTTTATTCACTTAGCAATTCACTTCATACAATTCAAATTAATTCACTTAAGAGAGAGCGAGTGCGATAAAGTACACACTCGACTCGACACTTTCAAAACATTCAATTAATGAGAACAATTAAGCACGTAGCAACACTTCATACACTTGACACTCACCAAGTCAAAAAGTGAGTAATTGAGCAAGTAAGCTTTTAGCTGTCCACTTCGAGATTCTCTTGAAGATCCCCTTGAGCACCTGAGCAAATAACGAGTAACTTTTACTCATAACCATGCATCAATCAAGAAAGAATGTACACGAGTTTAGAATAAGTCAATGTCTTAAAAGTGAACTTTAATTGTTCAAAATCGAGATTCAAAAGTGAGGACTCAAAGTCTCAAGAGAAACTTGCCTCTTCCGTGAAATCGGGTTTAAAACGGTTTATCAATACTGAGAGAGGGTGACAAGTTCTCAAAAATAGATTCCCTAAGAAATCATGAATTTTCAACTTTGCACGATAAAGTTGGAAAAATTAAATCTTGAGTTTAGCACGTGTAAAAATGGAAAACTCTACACCATTGAAAACTAGGTTCGGAGTACTTAAAGTTCCTAGAAGACACTTTTTCAAGATTCTACATGGAAAGCACTCATTTTTCCACTCAAAGTTTCAGTTCCAATAGGACAGGTTTGAACCAGTCTTGGTTTTCCAGCAATCTTTGGAAATTCGGCATAATTCACCAAAAGTGAATCAGCACTTGAAATTCATAGCACAATAAGAGCTCCAAACAAGGTTTCAAAAACGGTAAACAGAACTAAATTCAGAGTTTTGAGTATCAAGATATAGCAGTTCAAAGTCGGTTAATTTTCACTACTAGAACAGTGAATTTCCAGATTTGAAAAGCAATCTTTGGGGCATCATTTGGATATCGAAATGGCCTTAAAATTACACCAAATTTGGTACACTTAAACTTCCATATGTGGAATACCTCTCTATTAAATTTTACACAAAAAATCATGTGGGAAGGTAGTTAACAAAACTACCAAAGTTTAGGAAATTCTCAAGGCTAATCTGTCACTCACCCCTTTCTTTCCTTTCAAAAGTTTGGCACAATGAAATCAACCCCAATTCGATCCATTTTTGAAACCAAGGTCCTATAAACATTTAATAAGAAATTGATAAGCAATTGACATCAAAATGTTTGAAACAAAACATCCCAAAACAACTCTGACTATTCGGCTAGCAAGAAGGGGAAAACTTTCCAGTTTTCCAGCTTTGTTGCACTTTCAAAATCAGACCACATCTCAGTCAATACAAACTCAAATTGGGAATGGTTGGTGGCATTGGAAACTAGGTTCAAAATGTTACATTTCATCAGAAAGAGTCATTTCCAAAATCAGTTCACAAGTGAGAGAAAATCAAGCCACAAGATGCAGCTTCTCCATTCCTCTCGGACAGATAGTCACAACAGGGTAGTCAACTTTGTCGAATCACTACGGATGACTCAAAATGAACTAGCGGGTAATTTTATACCATTGGAAAGATATGAATGTCTAGTTTTGAATGCCGCTAATGGCACTCAATTTTGACTTTTGTACAGAGAGATACGTTCAAACAAAGAGTTACTGTTCGGCTACCCAGATTACCATTTCCAGATTTCTTTCAATTTCGAAAACCCTAGTTTTGAGCAACCAATGGAAACGATTTTTGGTAGACACCTTGTACACACAATATACAACATATATCACTCAATTTCACAGCCAAACAACCAAAAAAATTTTGAAATACAAGCAAGATAACCACATGACAGTTTCGGCCAGCTCTCATGCACAGCTTGTCCTCGATTTTTCCTTCACTTTCTAACCGTATTCATCTCAAATAACACATAAACAACCACAATCAACTAATTACACCTCAAGTCAGCTACCTATAATCTACCTCAAGACTGCTAGCCTAAAGATTAAAGCAAGATAAAATGGGTTTCCTCAAGTCCTCTACCTATTTCTTGCTTAGGGTTGTAAATCCATGCAATCTAAGCTTGATTCTTGAAGAAAAATGGAGAGATTGCAAGAGTTGAAGTTTACCTCTTGAACCCTAGATGGCACCAGAAATTTCCACCAAAACTCTCCAAGAAATTCCACAAGATGATGTCTTTCTCCAACCTAAAGTTGATCTCCAAGAGATTTTGAAGTTGGGTGCAAATTTGGAAGTGAAATGGAACAAGATAAAGTAAGATGAAGTGAAGCTTTCTTTCTCCCTTTCCTTGGGTGTTCGGCCGAGACTATGGAGAAGAGAGAGAGTGTGTTTTGTGGTTTGAATGTTGGTGGATGAAGTGTGTTAAGGAAGCTAAGTTTAAGGTGCAATAAGTCGACTTTGAATAGTGCTCAAATAGAGAGGTGCACTACCACTTTTCTCTCTTGTTTATTGCACTACTGCACTAATCCTCCAATGTAACTCCTTGAACACTGTAATTATTCACCCTTAGTAGTTTAGTATAAATTTCTCAAATCTCCACTTAGCCGTTTTGACACGAAATACGCGAACTTTTGATTCACGCGCGATAAAGCGAAATTTAAAAGAAATTCATATAACGATAATATAATTAACTAATACTATGGTAAATAATTATAAAAATAACTATTTTAAGAATAAAAACATGAGTCCTCACAGAAGAACCTTGTGCTTGAATCTAATAATTTCCATGGTGACATTTCCATGTGCCTCTGCAAATTAGCATCCCTTCAGGTTTTAAATTTGAAAGACAACAACTTAACTGGCCACATACCTCGCTGTTTTAACAACTTTACAGCAACGACATTGACAGAATTGGACTCTATAGGTATTTACTTTCTGAATTCAAGTTATTTTGTAGTTGACGACAGTGAAGAACTCTCACTTTTCATCAAAGGTGGAATGTTGAACTACACATCAAGCAATGTGCCATATGTTAGATTCATGGGGCTCTCGGGAAATAAACTAAGTGGGGAAATACCTGTCGAGTTAATGTCTCTTGTTGGATTGCAGGGTTTGGATTTATCTAGAAACCATCTAAGTGGAAGAATCCCAGAAAACATTGGGAACTTGAACCAACTTGAGTCTCTAGATTTATCCAAAATGACCTTTCTGGTCCAATTCCTCAAAGTTTGTCGGAACTTAAATCTCTGGGCTGGCTGAACTTGTCGTTCAACAGGCTAACCGGTCGAATTCCATCCGGACGTCATCTGCAGACATTAGACGACCCAGCCATTTACATGGGAAGCAGTGGACTGACCCAGCCATTTACATGGGAAGCAGTGGACTTTGTGGTGAACCGCTAGACAAAAGCTGCCCTGATGAATCTGATGGTAAATCAAATGCCGGAGAATCGAGTGATCATGAGGATGGCAAGGAGTCTTATTTTTATTGGTTTTATGCTGGTTTGGGACCTGGTTTTGGTGTTGGACTCTTGGGATTCTTCAGTGTCCAATGTTTTAAAAAGTCATGGCGCTATGCATACTTCGGATTTCTGGAGAACTTGTTCAATAAAGTATGGGTAGATATTGCATTGCTTATTGAGTGATTTTACGTGTATCATCAATTATAGTTGTAATGTCATGGTACTTCATCTTATTGTAAAATAATAAAGTATAAATAAGACCTTTCCTCATCCCTTCAGGTCATGATTGAAGCATAACATGTCGGTCATTTAGTTATCATCTCTCCACAATTAGAACTACGCATTGGAATGAAAGTAGAGTGAAAATTTCATAATTACAACTGACCATTGAAGGGAAAGTTCAATACCACATAATGTTCATGTAGACCTTTTGAGTTCTGCTGTAAGTATTGTATAAATGAATTTGCACTAGTTATTCTAAATTACGGTCCTAATATATTAGTGTTGTCAGGAAAGAAACATACATGCATAGTAGAAATTCAAAATATTATTTATCTCAATTTTTTGTGCATTTCTACATGGAGATCATAACTTTTGGTGCAAAATCCTTTTCCATTTAAAATTATCAAAATATCTAGCATTTGCTGGTGATCTACACAACCTCTTCATAAGATTTTATTATCATAAAATCATTAAATTTGATAAATACTAGCTCTCCCCATGAGTAAAGCTCACAAGTTAATGAAATAGGAGGGATGAGAGATGACTTCCTTAGGGAGAGAGATGAATTTCTCTCTATGTTGGCCGAATTCTCCACCTTGTTTTTTTTTCTTGATTTTCACAAAATCTCTCTAAAAATTAATTGAAAATTATGTCTTGCAAAGTTGGTCTAAGAGGTCTTTATATTGGCAATAAATAAATCCAATTCCTATGGGATCCACTTGAGTGGTTTCCTTAAGAAGTAGGATTCCTATCTTCTAGATATCCTAAAAGACTTTCATATTTGTACAATAGGTCCTTCATATTTAAGTTATACTACTCTTGAAATCTTCTAGATAACTCTTTTCTTAGAAGATTACCTTATTTGCATAGAAGTAGTGTTGTTAGACCCGGACTGGACCGGCCCGTTCGATCTGTCCGACTATGAACCGGCTTCTTTTCGAATTGGTTTATAGTATAAAATCGTTTTAGTTAAAAATCAGTCAAAACCATAAAAAACTGGCTAAACCAGTGACTCGATACGACTGGTTGACCCAATTCTTAAACTTTTCTTTTTTCTTTTCCCCAAACATAATTTGAGTTACCTAAATTGTAACACTTTTATTTATTAATAGGAATAAGAAAATGTCAACTATTTAGTGTAAATATCAAAATCACTCGCTTTTCTAAATGATCTCTAAATCAAGATGTTTTTATCACTATGATCTCATTAATTTAGCATCAGTGATTCAAACTTGTATTAATTTGTTTTAATTTAGTTTTTCAAGTAGTTTTGGAGAATGGACATATTTTAACCATAAATTTACATTTTAATGTATAATTATTAGGTGTATATTTGATTGCAAGTCTAATATTTTTGGAACATTTTTCATGATTGGTCAAATATAACCAAGAACTTAATTTCAATATTTCTGAAACTTATAAAAATATAAAATAATTATAACATCATGCTAACATTAGTGTATTTTTTAGAACGGTCCTACCAATCCGACTAGTTGACGCCTGACTGAATAGTTTAACTGAGTCACCATTTGGTTCGATTTTAACAACATTGTATAGAAGTTCCTTACAAATTAAACTATAGGCAATACATTCTTATATTCATGTCCCTACTTCAACTCCTTTTAATCCTATGAATGAAAATCTTAGTGTGAGTGACCCATTAGACTCCCATATATGATTACAACATAACAAGTATTTGTTATAATTTTAAATAATTAAGAGCCAAATAGTTTAAATACTTTTAATTTATCATTAATTGAAATAGTCAGCTAACTCATTCTTATAGATCGAGATTGCTATCTAGCAACAATCAAGTGATGTGGGGGGAGGGTTGGGTTGGGTGGTAAGGGGGGAGGGAGTGTAAGCAAGAGGTCTCGGGTTCGAGTCTTCTTGCTTACATTAAAAAAAAAAAAGTGATGAGAAGAGCCAAGTAGTTGACTTCATCTTTCCATGTAACTATTATTACTCACCAAACTTATCTCTTAGTACTTTAGAATCTAGAATACATTCCAACTCTGATATAACTATAACAATTTTTTTGCCAAAATTTTCCCATGAAGAAAACTTAGGACAACTTTCCAAAACCTTTTCACTTAGCACTAAGATTCTTTGAACCATACTTTAATGAGCAGCCACGAATAAGATAACTCCTCTACTATTAAGATAATATATTCTTATACATTACTCGCTATTCTTTCATGCTTACTACTCTTCCCAATCTCTAATAATATGAGTAGATCATTTATGGGAAACAACTAGGAGAGCCAAAATATAGTAATCCAACTAAGATGTTGTGGTACTCTTAAATTTAAGGATCACTTGTACTGCCGGCACTTAGAGATTAAGCTATTGACACTCACAAAGGTATTTATATAAAATCCTTATTTGGATCAAATTAATGAATTTGATCAACTAGCTAGTGAACTTGATTAAATATCAAGCATGCACATAGTAATTTAGATGTCACCACGTTATTGTCTAAAGTAGTATTTTAAAAGGCATTATCGGGATTCGCTTTAGGGCATGTACACTTAAAACGCCTTAGAGCAATCAAGGGAGGCGGTAGTTTCGTTGTGGTATTGCCTGAACGATGCCTCCAAGACTCGGGCTTGCATGCCTAAATGGCCCATATAAACTGGAAAATTTTGAGATTTGACATAAACCCTGTTTAGTAGAACAAGGAGAATAGAAGAAAAAGTGATCAATAAACCTCACCAACAATAGAATGGAGCTCTCTAGTGCTTCATTGTTTATTACCCCCTATATATACTATATTATTTTCGAAGCCCACTTAAAGAAGCACCGTTTCATGCTTCTTGCAATCATAATTTACCGTTAACATGTTTTGGATATCTACATTCTGAAATAGTTCAAGTTTGTTTTCAACTTTAATTATCATATTATTGCTTAATGTTATATAGCTAGTTGATATTTTACCATTTTAATAATACTGCATATTTCTAGCATTTTATTAATTTCTAAATTATTATAATTAAAATTCATGGGGCTAATGCTACAAGCCTCAGGACTTTCACCAGACCCGAAACAACTAGAAATCCCCGGCCAGCACCTCCACTTTTCGAAATTTTGGTCTAAAGAAAAAGTTCCTAATTGTCAAGTTTAATCCTTGGCTTCTATATGGGATTTGAGACTGCTCATTGTTATTGTCAAGGCAACAAGTAATCAAACATTTGGTATAACTTGGGTACGTTGCCTACGGTTAGGACCATCTTTACTGGTCTTAGGAATTAAATTCTAAACTAATTAGAATAACATTTCATGGTCAGCCTGGTGACAGTAAGGTAAATGAATCAAATTCTGATTCGGGTTCTCATTTTGATGTCATATAATTTAGTAAATGGTTGACTTGTGATAATCTTAAAGTGCTAATCAGTTTGGTTGCGCAGAACAATCTGACATTAGTCTGGTTATGCAACTAGAAAGCCCCACAAATTATTTGTTGGACTTGATTCATAAACAAATAAATATTGGTGGGCAATTAGGCTCTTTCCTTATGTATCGTAAAATACGATTTGATCATTCCTTGTTTTGTTCTAGATGAACTATTATTGTGTAATTTGGCATCATTGTTTCAATTATAAGGACACATGCAGTGGTTGCTTAACTTCGTTTTTGTTGGAACGTGTGCTTTATTCTGTCATTTTTTCTTTTTTTTTTTTTTTGTAGGAACCATTGGGGGCTGATCGCAAATGCATTTGAAGAAGTTGAATATCATGATTGACTTGTGAATTAAAGGTGGATGCCAGTGTATGGGGACATCATTTTTGCAAAAATCACTTGGTAACTCTGTGTATTTCTATTTCAAATGAGGGAATCATTAGGGTTTGTTGGTGGCCAGGGAGGGGTCTGAGGGTCTTATCCGCTATCAGGTTCAGAGTTCGAATCCTTTACCTAGCTATTAGGGAAGGGTGTGGAGAGAGATGGGAGGGTAAAGAAAAAAAAAATGAGGAAATCTGATTTTGGTCTCTAATGTTTAGATTGTGTGCAAACTAGTCCCGAATATTTTGACCAAAACAAATATGATTCCAAAGATAAAATTTAGAACCATTGATGAAAATTCAATAATGGCTAAGCGTTAAAGTCAGATTGTTGTTAGTCAATAGTTTTATATTTATATTTTCAGTCGCTAATTTTTTGAGATTGAATTGATACAGCCCCTAAGGCCCTAAGTTACAGAAAGTGATATTTTGGGTTTTAGGATGAAATGGGAAAATTAAATCAAAATATTTTTCAAATGTGTGCCAGAAATTCCAATAATAAAAAACATGAAAAAGTTAATAATACTTCTTTTTTATTTTTTTCTCTTTTTCATTTCATTTATTCATGCCACTAATTAGTCCTCTTTTTTTTCATTTCGTTTGCATAGTTGATCCCAAATTTGGCATAATATATGTATGTGCTATTTTGCACTATGAATATTGTATTAAAAAAGAGTTATACATCATTCTTTCATTACAATCAAATGCTCAATTAAATATCGTTATAAATATAAGAAATATATACAATATGTAATTTATGTGTCATCCATTTTCTTTTTGTTTTGGCATTTCAATGGGTTGTCAACTAAGTTTCAAATTAAACATTCACTTACAAAATTATTTGAATTATTCAATAAAATTATCATTGTACAGAACATTAAAATTAAACCTATAAATCTTTACTATTGGAACATTAGATTTGAAATTTTGAATAAGAAGGGAAGACAACAAAATCCAAAAGGAAGTTTTTTCAAATATTCTTAAAAGCACTTTATATTGGTACTTACTTGCACTAATTGTAATCACTAATTACAACTCCCAGCTATAGCCATTTAAAGCTTACCTCGATAAGTCATGCAAAAATTTATCTAATTGGAGCTACGATCAAGTCATATCATGAAACTAGAATTTTCAACTTCTTCCACTAATTTATGTTTTATGTATTATATATGTTTTGTTGTTCAATTGTGACTAATTTAATAAAGAGAAGTTCTTCAGCTAAATAACACTTTTGTGCCAATGTGAAGCTAATTAATATTTTCTATTAATTGTTTTAAATTGCCTAAAATCACAAATTTGAGGATCACATTTTTCCTTGTCAAAATATTAGGAACAAAATTTACAAATAAACCAAAAAATTAGAGACCAAAACAACATTGCTGAGATCACTTTGTTGCTGAATGCTGATTTGGACTTTTGTTTAAGACTCCTGCTAAAGTGATCATTGACTCAAAAGTTTATGAAGGGAAGATTTGGTTATTCTATTCTTCATCTATGTCAATTTGATCTTCCTCATGGTCAACCACTATCTTGAAACTTGGGAGTATTACAGTTCTCACTCCTTTTTGCCCAGTTCATGTTCCTCGCCATTTCTTTCCTGCAAACCACCCTCTCAGATCCATGGACAATTTAATGGAACAAGTTCTCTTCTAATGTTGCATGTAAGGATTCTTCTATAGATAGTATACTGGCATTCTAGACACAGAAGCACAAAAAGAACAGAAACCGAAGAAAATACAGCATTAAAGCTCCAAAGGTAAAAAAGAAACAGAAACTCAGAAATATGAAGATGTGAACCTTGTAGTCGATGACTGATTAGACACACACATTAGGAAACAGCAAAATGACAGTATGTTTTAGAATTACAATCCAAATGGCTTAAGCAGTTTGGACTTCAAGAAGATTAGAAACAAAATTTGATATACAAGGAAACATGCCTCTCTGTCTTGCGAACAAAAACTTTGCCGGTCTCTTCATTTTCATTGGGCGAAACTATCGTCTAAACGCCTTGAACAATACTGTACAGCTAAAGAAACTAAATATTCTCTATATAAGCAAAACTGAGGGCAGAAAATTGTTTTCTGATTTTCTTTCCCTTCTCTGATGACTTTAACTTTCTACTGTTCTGTATATGAAACAGTACTCTGTAACAAAACAGACAAAAAAAGAGATGAATTTCGTACTCAAGGAGATCTACCTTTTTGTACATTAATTAAAATTTTTTGCTAATAATGTTAGCGATGTCTGTTTATCTTTCCTCAAACAAACAATAATGATGTTTCCATGGAGAAGAAACAGAGATACAAGTCTGCACATAAAAGCGAGGGATTGGGTTAGTCCACAATCACAAAATCAAATTTCCGAAAAAAGCACCTAAATCCTTTGATGGAAACTTCTGACCATGGGACGTGACAAAGTATGATTCAAGTGATCATCGAACGTGCAACATAAAAATATTTGGCATCTGAAACTCTTTTAATTCTGAAAGGAAAAAAATTCGCACAAGTTCAGAGCTCAATTCCAAAAATGAGATTTGATTCATAAATGGAACTAAATGTGAATTTTCAAAGGAATTCTCCACTATCACTTGTCCCCCCTCTCAGCATGATGTAGGAACTCCATCTACTACATGTGTGAATCTTTCACCTCATCCTAGTGGAAATAAACATACCCAGTTAACCTGACGTACAATGATAGATTCCCAATCTGCTAGAAGATGTTCTATCGCCTTGTTCATTTTGACTGAAATGCAGATCTAATTAGAGTTAAAACTTAAAAATACAATGCATTGACTTCTAAAACAGCAAATGAGATGAGAATGGAACAGTCCAGATTAAATATCAGTAAATTATTCCCATCCTTCCACATTAAACGGTCCAATTGGAATTCTTGGGTCTGAATGAAATTTTCTAAGAGTTCTATCTTCTATTGGTTTATTAAGCGGTTTTTGATGTGTATAAACAGGGGAAAAAAAGGAATATTAAGAAAGAAGATATATACAAATGTATTGGTACATGAACTATGCAGTATCTCTCAGTGGAATTGTTCAAGGCATCTACTTTTTGAAAAACTCTGTAAGCCATCAATACTATTAAAGTATAGAATAAATACGATTCCTTTCAGAAAGACTGTTCAATTGAATTTTTCATTCATATGCATTAATGAAGGTGTGCTCCTATTCTCAGTTCTATTGTGCAAAAAAAAAGGTTATGTGACGATATTGAAACTGAAACGCTTTAAAGTTTGTAAAAAAGCAAGCAAAAGCTCCAATAGGATTTGGGAAATCACTAGATGTTCAAACGTAAACTAACATGTCAGAAAGGCCATTTCTTCTTTCTTTTTATTTTCTTTTTCTCCCTTCTCCATGCCCTTATTTTAACCTATGATAGACAGCTTTCCCAGGAACAACATGGAGTAACAAACACATGGCTTGAAATGTTATGCTGCAGGAACTTAGGTTTCTAAAATAATGGCAAACATCTTGCAAACTTTTTTGTACGAAAGAACTACGAACAATATGAAGTGGCTTTAAAAACCTGGTAGCAATGCGTTCAAGTAATCTGTTCTAGTTCCAGATGGATGGGTTTTTAAATTGAGTTGCCATTGCCTCAGAGAGAAACTTGACAAGTTCTTCTCTCGGAACTTCCTTCTCCTTCTTCAGCTCAAGATGCCGAACCTAGTAACAGAACCAAACGCTAAGCAACTTTTAAAGGACAATCCAAACTGGAAAAAAAAAAATATATATATATATATATATATATATGAGGTGCTCTTCTCCTGGAATAAAGCATTTGAATGCGGGCTCTAGATTATGGCGCATGGGTGCTGCTAAAGGAGTCAAAAGTTGTAACACAAAAGCTCTAAATGGCTAATACTTACCCATAATAGATACACATAGTTGATTTAAAATGGTAAACATAATCTCAGAAAAGCTTTTAACTCCAACTATTCTTTTAAGGAATCTGGTAGTCTTAGTTTGGGCATTTCCTAGTCAGTATTTTATTCCAGTGGAGGTATTGTAGCACACTAAACTGAATTATTTATTAAGAAATGGCCGCACTTTGGTGTGATTGCTAGACTTATAATGATCAGATATCATAAGAAATTGGTAATCAGAAAGAAATAGGAACTTTCTATGTAAATTCTGGAGTAGATAATAGGAGATTAATCTAAGACCCTGAACCCTTGTGAAAGACTTTATGTACTCCACCGACAAAGAAGATTTTTAGATTCCATCTGGTGCAACATGACTAACCATCGAAGCGACAAAATTTAGAGGAATAAAGAGTTAACACTGATTAGCGTACGATAAATATCCATAAAAATGTCTTAGAGTTTGCTCTTTATCTGTTTTGACTGAATAGCATTATTCAATATACACATACACTTCATAATAATGACTTCTTGATATGGGAAAGAAAATCAGATGACATATTTGTAGATTTGGCTAAGTATCACTTTAGTAATGAATGGCCATGCCGTAATGGAAGAGAACTTACTTGTGAATTATGTCTACATCTGCAATATTTATGAGCTGCAAGTGCTTGATTAGAACCAATATCTTTTCTAGATTTGCCTTCATGATTGTCTTGTAGATATGCACATGTTTGGTTATGGCTGGTGAAGATCCATTGCATTTGATAAGCTTTGTATCTTTCTTCTTTGACTTGTTGCACAACATCTTTTGTAGGCACTGGGATTGTAAGAAGGATTGTGTTAAGGATAACTTGTTAAATGTCCAACAATCTCCCCTCCAGCACATCTATTGAATTTGAAATTTAATTGAATTATATCTTATGTTTTAATCACTACTAAAAAGTGTTTCATTATTCATCTATATGGCTTCCACTGGTGAAATAATTTCTCTTAATACATTGTTTTGTTGCACTCGATACTCGATAGATTCAACGGACCTTTGATGACTTTAACCTGCCAATGATTCTAATTGGCCATAATTGCTTGTGTACAGAATTCTCATTCATGCTACATAATTCATTTTTGTTGCTTGTTCTGAAGGTATGTTGTAATGCATGTAAGAAGCCAATCAAGGCCACCAATATGCATTCTATGTAGTTAGGTTTCTTTTCTATTTTACTCATTTTCTCTATTTTAAATATGGGATCTTATTAGACTTTTGTTGTTTCTCAGCTGTTTGCTTGGTGATGCATTATTGATGGTTGTGCCTGATGCAATATTCACTCTACTTGAAGGGTCCAAGATATTATACTTAAGAAAAGGATTTTAGCAATATTATGCAATAATAGATGTGGAAATTAAAGTTTTTTGCATATATCTCATGGACATGCTCTTTGCAAACCCAAATGAATAAGACACTAACGGTTTTAACCGTGGTTTGGACATTGTGTATATCTCCTAAGCCTTTTGTTTAACATATTAATAAAATCAAAAAGAAAGGAGTTTGGATATTTGAGTAAGTAAGTTTACTAAAGATGCATACTTTTGAGATTTAGTTTCATACTCTCTTTAAGCAATTTAGTCATGATCTTGTTGCATACATATTCATTTAAAGTTTCCTTGTGGGCTCATTAGTTGTCATTTTGAGTTTGAGATCCAAGCAATTTGATCTTTGCATAACGAAATGCTTGCATAACGAAATGCATGCATTTCATTATGCAGTCGTGTGATTTGGGCATGATAACACATTTTTAATCGGTGATGTCTGTTGGGAAAGGGATACCGCGTGCAGCACACAATATTAGAGTTAACCCAGATAAATGACTTTTTCCCAAGTACTAGTTAAAATAGGAATAAATCAAATTACCAAGTAATAATGCCAGCAGTGAATAAAATGCAAGAAAATAAAAGGCACAGAACACCAAGATTTTTTACGTGAAAAATCCAAATTTGAAAAAATCACGGGACTTAGTCTAAAAAATCTCTATTATATAATAAAAATACATAGGTCTATCCGAAATATTCGGATGACAATAATATCACCAATATCAACCAAGCGAAATTACTGCAACAATCACCCCAAAAACTATAATTGTCAAAGAAGTAGGTTTGGAAAGGTGTTATCAAATGGAGAGAAAATCCAAAATCTGAACTAATAGATAAGTAGAGCCTGACGAGAGTATTGCGTGGGTAAAATTTCGTCTCAATCGGATTTGAATACCCTCCAATCAAGACCTTGAAGTTTCTCTCTCTCTAGCTCTTTCTCTCTCTTTGTTTTTCTCAAAAACAAGAAAAGTGGCGGACTGTAGCTTTTTTTCACACCAAAGAAAAACTTTCTCTCGCGGCTGCTGCTTGTATTTATACTTGAAAAACCCTCAAGCTTTGTTCACTTGTGTGTTTGGTTGGCCCACATATGGGCTGGCCCACACAAGTCCAACAATCTCCCCCTCCAGCTCATTTGGGGGTATAGTCAAACCTGCTTCCTGTCTGCAAAATAGGATTTTCTCCTTAGGCAACGCCTTGGTCAGTATATAACACCATTGTATTAATGTGAACTTTCTCAAGTATTAATAATTTGGAATTCATTACTTCCAAATCCAATGATATCTCACATCAATGTGTTTGGACCGAGAGTAAAATGTAGAATTTTAACACAAATGAATGGCACTCTAACTGTTACATAAAGATATACTTCTCTTGCTTCATACCCAAATTGAAGGAATTTCTGCAACCAAAGAATCTCCTTGCATACTTCAGTGGTTGTGATATACTCTGCCTCTGTACTGGAAAGGGCAATGCACTTTTGTAATTTACTTTGTCATGACACTGCTTCCCCTGCAAAAATCATCAAGTATCTATATGTGGATTTCCTATTATCAAGATCTCTATATCTGCATCAGTACCCATCTATTATAGATTTACCATTACTAAAACACAAACACAATTTGGGAGTTCCTTTGAGTTACCTGAGAATCCATTTGACAGCATTCCAATGTTCCTTGCAGGATTCGAGAGATAGTGACTAACTACTCCAACTGCATGAGTAATATCTAGCCTGATGTAAATCATGGCATACATCAACTACCAACAGCCGACGCATAAAGAACATTTCTTAGCTTTGCTCATATTAAACCTGTCAAGCACCTTTTCAATATACTTTTCTTGAGACAACCAAAGCTTTCCATTTTGCCTGTCTCGTGAGATTTTCATCCCCAGTATCTGTCTAGCCGGACCCAAATTTTTCATTGTAAAAGATTTACTCAACTCTTTTTTCAACCTGTCAATTTTCATAGCATATTACGGCCAACAATCAGCATGTCATCAAATATACAACAAGAGAATAATAAAATCACCATCTGAAAAATTTTTCACGTAAACACAGTGATCAGATGTAGTCTTGTGGTACTCGTGGTCTATCATGAAGGGCTCAAATTTCTTGTACCACTATCTCGTGCCTGTTTCAACCATATAAACTCTTCTTGAGACGCATACAAGATTTTCCTTACCAATTTCTTTGAATCCCTCCGATTGCACATGTAGATCTCCTCTTCCAAGTCACCATGCAGGAAGGCTGTCTTCACATCAAGTTGTTCGATCTCAAATTTAAACTGGCTGCAATATTCAGAACAATTCGAATTGACGATCTTTACCACGAGAGAAAATTTCTTCAAAGTCTATACCTTTCTTTTGGTTAAATCTCTTCACAACCAATCTTACTTTGTACTTTGGTTATGAGCTGTGCTTCTGAGTCTTCAATCTATAAACCTATTTGTTCTTTAAAACTCTCTTACCTTTAGGCAGTTTCACTAAGTCATAAGTGTGATTTTATGCAGAGACACCATTTCCTCTTGCATGGCTCGCAACCAATCTTCTTTGTTCTCATGCTCTAGAGCATCACAGTAGGGCTTTGGCTCTCCTCCATCGTTAACAACACGTATTCATGAGGATTATATCTGTTAGAAGGTCTCCTCTCTCTGGTAAATCTCTTAAGCTCATCTCGTGGTGGGTAATGGAGTAGGTGGCACCTCATGCTCAAGTTCATCAGTAGCAAGATTATCACCATCATCAACATCTTCTCTTTGCTCTGTTTTAGCTCCCCCTTGATTAAAATCAACAGGTCTAGAACTGGATCTGGATTTGAACTAGTAGGAATATCATCTAAGAATTTTGGGTTGTCACCTTTTCCAATGTCTTCAATGGTTTGATCTTCAAAGAAGACAACATCTTTGCTCCTAATCACCTTCTTATCAATAGGATCATACAACCTATAACCAAAATCTTCATGTCCATAACCCAAGAAAATACACTACTTTGATTTTACATCAAATTTTGACCTCTCATCTTTGGAATATGAACAAAACCCAACAACCAAAAACTCTCAAGTGCTTAAAAGATACATCTTTTTCCGTCCCTACTGTTTCTGGGATGTCACCATCTAGAGGAACTGACAGAGAAAGATTAATCAAATCGATTGCAGTCCTCATTACTTCACCCCAAAAGGATTTTGACAATTTAGCATTAGAGAGCATGCATCTGACCCGCTCAGTAATGGATCTATTCATCCTATCTGCTACTCATTCTCTTGAGGAGTTTTTGACACAGTTTTCTCCAGAATCAAGTTATACTTGGATGGAAAAAGTAAGAAAATAGGAAAATGCTGCCCAAATTTTAAGTCGAAGATAAGCGAGTGAACTTGAAACTTGACGACGATTTGAGATCGAAGTGAACTTGGATTGTCTTTGGTGTTCAAGTTTCCGTTTAGTCGAGGTATATAAGCTGAAATTTGGCCAAAACTCATACCTTTTAAAAGGCGAAAATAGCGATCACTCGAAATATGTTTTCCTCGTCTTTTAGACCACTTTGCGAATTTAAAAGTTTTAATCGCTTTCTTACCAAAACTAAAAGACGAGCATGAGTTTTCTAGGGTGTGATAAGCAAAATAAATACTACTTAAACGAGTTTCATTTAATTGATTTTCTTTAAGCGAAACTCCTATTTTGAACCCTAGTTAATTTCAAACTCTTAAATGATATTTTATCGCAAATTTGGACTCCAACCAAGGAGTTGCACTTGAGCGTGAACTTGAAAAGCACTAAGTCTTT